CCCCGCCACAACCCGCCACCCCCAGCACCTCAGCCAGGGCTCAGGTCCTGCCTACTGGGGCAGCTGGGTGTCTTCACGGGGCCACGGCAGCATGGGGCAGGACACGCGTGTGTATTGGGGTGGGGGGTGTCACTATATGATGGGAGTTGGCTGGGCTGGGGGAGCACCAGGGCCTGGGCTGATGCCTGCTCTGGGGTGCAAGGACTGGGGTCAGGTCCAGGCCGACGTGCATGCCCACCTTGGTGCCTCAGGCCTGTATCTGGGCCTACCCCAGGGTCCCTGCGGGGCGTGCGCCTGGGTGCTGGCCGTGGGGGAGCCACCTGGTGACAGAGCCTCTGCTGTCCCCTAGGCCTGGTCTCCCAGTCGTCCCCCAAGAAGCCTCGTGGCCGGAGCATCTTCAAGGCGCTTTTCTGTTGCCTCCGCGTGCAGAATGTGGGGCAGCCGGGCTGCGGGGGCGAGCACGGGCCGCGCACGGAGCAGGCCAGCACCATCGCCAAGGTACGGGGGCCGGGGCCGGGGCACGGGGGCAGCAGGAGCTCCCAGGGTTGGACCTCTGCTCCAGCCCTCCCGCGGCTGCTGCGTCTGGTGGGAGCAGGGATCCCTCAGCCCTGGGCTCCCTCTCTGCAACCTCTCCATCACGCAGGCGCTCGCTCGGTGCACGTGTGTGATTGCTTGCCTGCAGCCTCCCTCTCAGAGCTCCCCCCGTCTGTCTGTCTGCATGTCTGTCTGGCACCACGAACTGCCCCTGCTTCCCGCGGCTCCCCTCAGCTGTGGGTTGGTCCCAGAGAGAAGGGCTTATGCCCGGGCAGCAAGTGGAGTGGGTGCCTGCCTGTGCCGGGGCTGGCCAGGTTGTCACAGCCTGTGGGGTGTGGATCCTCACCCCCCTCATAACACCTCTGTTTCTCCTCCTTCCCCCCTGCTCTCCCCCAGTCTGATCTGTTGCCGTGTCTTCAGTACCAGTTCTACCAGGTATGTGTGTGTCTCCCTGCTGTGTGCCTGTGTGCATGTGTCTGTGTCCATGTGTGTGTCTGTGGTTGTCCTCCTCACTGCAAAGACCCCTCTACCCTTCCACCCGTGCCTGGAGCCGAAACCCACCTGGGCCTGGGGGAGGCCCATGACTTTGGGTGCAGGGCTCCACCCCAGAGCCAGCTGCATTCCCAGGCAAGGCAGCCCCCCCCCCCCAGCTCCCAGCCCCCCCTTAAGAGCCAGGCCTGTCCTACTCTTGGGAGTGTAGTGGCAGCCTCAGTGCTGCAGCCCATGCAGCCAACTCCAGCCTTCCCTGTGCCAGGGCTGTGCCTGGGGCACATGCCTGGCTCTGCCTCGCAGGCCCTCGGGCCGGAGCATCAGGGCGGTCTGACTCGGTCATGCCGTGCAGCAGGCAATGCTGCGCCAGCCAGGGCTCCCCCACTCCAGGCCCCAGGGAGTTGCATCCTTGCAGTGTCTGGCCGAGAGCAACTGCCCAGGGGTGGGGGGAATTGCCCCGGGCCATCTGCAAGCTGGGGGGATGGGGCTCTGCAGGTGCCTGCAGTGGGGGCTGGCTGTGGCCAGGCCTGATGGCTCCTCTCGTGTGCTTGTAGATTCCCAGTGCATGCCTGCTCCCCGAGGCGGCTCAGCAGGACCAGGGCCGCATCTGTGTCGTTATCGACCTGGACGAGACGCTGGTGCACAGCTCCTTCAAGGTGACGCCAGGGGGCAGGGATGGGGAGCTGTGTGGGGGGTGGGTGCTGTGGTGGGCTTGGGTCTGGAGTGAAGCCCCTGAGCCCCCCTAGCTGCAGCAGGCAGTGGCAGGTGTCAGAGCAGAGGGGCTTAGCTTGGCTGTTGGACACCCGCTCCCTCCCCTCTCCATTCAGAATCTCCTCTGAGCTCTGGTGGGGCCAGACCCAGCCGGGTGCCAGTGGAGACGTGTCTCTTGGCTGCTGGCATGTGGGGGTGACACGCCTGCACACACGTGTCTGTGTTTGCCATGCTGCCAATCTGCTTGCACTAGTGCCCAGGCTCAACCTGTCCCCAACAAGCTCTGACAGTCGGGGTCTTCTCATCTCAGAGGGGCTTTGCCCCCTGCTCTGCCCTAGGCCTGCACAGCTGCCCTGGGGTCGTAGCGTTGTTTTGCTAGAGTCCCCCATCCTGTTGGCTGGGGCCAGGGTCCCCAGCTCCTGTGCTAACCCCCCTTGCTCTCTCCTTGCACCCCCAGCCAATCAGCAATGCTGACTTCATTGTGCCTGTCGAGATAGAAGGGACCACACACCAGGTGAGCAAGGCCGGGGCAGGGGCAGGGCTGGGGGAGTCTCGGCATCGGCCTGGCCTCAGGCCCCAGAGCGGAGCAGGACCCACGGGGCCACGGCCCGGTTCAAGTAATCCAGGATAGGCTGGTGCCAGGCCCGTGGCCTATTCTCGATTACTTGTCTCGGGACGTGGCTGCTGGCACGGCGACGCTGGAGGAGGACGAGGACAAGGATTGGTGATCCAGCATCAGGTGTCGGGGGCAGGCAGGGCCTGGGGGGGGGCGGTGGTCTGGGGGTGGCAGGCATTTGGCACTGGGTCCTGGAGACCAAACTGTGCAGGTGCCCTGGGTGGGGAGGGACCCCTACATTGGTGCCCCCCCTGCCCCTGCTCACGGCCCCCCCATCCACCCCTCAGGTCTATGTGCTGAAGCGGCCGTTTGTGGATGAGTTCCTGCGGCGCATGGGGGAGCTCTTCGAGTGCGTCCTCTTCACTGCCAGCCTGGCCAAGGTGAGAGCCAGGGTGCGGGCTGGGACCTCCCCGCACTGCCCGCGTGGCCATAGCATGTGCAGGGCAGGGCTTCTGTGGCTGGGGGAAGGGTCATGGCCCCTGCTCCCACCTGCCCCCGCAGGCTGAGCCGTGACCCTGGCTCTCTCCCGCTGCCAGTACGCTGACCCTGTGACGGACCTCCTGGACCAGCGCGGGGTTTTCCGGGCCCGGCTCTTCCGGGAATCGTGCGTCTTCCACCAGGGCTGCTACGTCAAGGACCTGAGCCGTCTGGGCCGGGACCTGCGCAAGACCCTCATCCTGGACAACTCGCCAGCCTCCTACATCTTCCACCCCGAGAATGCGGTGAGCCCCCCGGGCACCCCTGCGCCTGGCGGGAGAAGCCCAAAGGGTCCTCTTCTTCCCCCCCACCTCCTTCAATCTCCCTGGGAAGTCATCTTTGTCACTCGGGCACTCCCTCTGTAGCCAAATTTTAGCCAGATTTGTGGATGACACTAATTTGTTCCAAGTTGTAAAGATTACGGCAGACTGTGAGGAGCTACAGAAGGATCTGGCATGACTGAGCCAATGGGTAACTAAATGGCAGGTGCAAGTCAGTGGAGATAAGTGTAAAGTGATGCACCTGGGCAAAGGTAACCCCACATTTACCTGTGCTCTGAAGGGCTCGACATGAGCTGATACCACCCAGGAAGGAGAGCTGGGTGTGGACAGTTCACTGAAAACATCAGCTCACAGCTCAGCAGCCATCAAGAAGGCCAACAAGTTAGGCTTTAAGAAGGGAATTGTGAGCACAACAGAAAGCATCACAAAACTCCTGTATAAATCCGTGGTGTGTCCATCTTGGATACGGTGCCCAGTTCTGGTCCCTGCACCTCCAGAAGGATATAGAAGTAGGGGAGGTCCAGAGAAGGGCAACAAGAATGATGAGTGGTATGGAGGGGACATGATAAGGGTTAAAAACTACTAAATAGAGAAGAGAAAGTTGCTAGGGATATATTATCAACTCTCACCAGACGAGATCCAGGGGCGCAATGAAACTAGCAGGCAGCAAGCTTAAAACTAACGCAAGGAAGTTCTTTCCCACCCAGCGTGTCATTAAAGCACAGGGCTCGTGGCCACCAGATGCGGTGGAAGCTGAGAGTTTAGTCAGATTCACACAGGGAGCGGACTCATCCTTGGAGGAAAGGGGGATCGGCAGCTATTGAGCAGGGGAGCAAGGGGGACAGTCCCTGAAGCAGAACTTCCTAGACCTTCAATGCTGGAGGCTGCAAGTGAGAGAGGAACGGGGCGGGGGAAGCCCCTTCCAGGGGGCATGAGGAGCCGGGGCCCCCTCCCCTCCCTACTGAACTCTTCCTTGCCCCATAGGTGCCAGTGCAGTCCTGGTTCGACGACATGGGGGACACAGAGCTGCTCAACCTGCTCCCTGTCTTTGAGGAGCTGAGCGTGGCCGAGGACGTTTATACCAGCCTGGGCCAACTGAGGGCGCCCTAGCGCCTGGGGCGCCCTCTTGTGGCCCCCGTTCTTCAGCAGGGGACATTCACGTAGTGCCTTGAAGACCAGCGGGACGCGGCAGGCGAAGGAGGCAGTGCCGCAGACCAAAATGCCGGGGGGGCATCCCAGCCCCCCCGCCCCTCTGGGACCAGGCTGCAGTCTCCAGTGCGGGGCAGGTGGGGGGTCCCCAACGCCTTGGCCCAAGGGCTGAGCCCCTGGCCCTCCCCTGCCCACGCTTGTATCTATGCATGGCGGAGGCTCCCTGTGCCAGGCTTGTATCCAGGCCGTGTTTCTGGCATGGACGCCCCTGGCTATGGCAGGCTGCTCCCTGGTGGGGGGCAACCCCTTGGGGCCCAAACTGCCCTGACACTTTTAGGACAGAGCTACCCCCAGAGTCCCAGGCCCCACCTGCCAGGCTTGTCTGCAGCTGCCAGGGTCAGCACCTCTCCTGGGGCTGTCCAGGACCTGCTCCCAGCCCCATGGTGGGGGCTGGGCCCTGCTTCGGCAGCAGAGAGATGCAGCCTGTGGTTCAAGGAGGTTCCTGCTGATCCTGCCCAGGACCTGGGCCAACCTCTTAGCTCCTACCTGCCTTGCATCTGGGGCAGCAGGGCACCTCCAGCCTAGCCAGGTGGGGCCTAGCTCTGTCCCAGCCTCCTCTCTGGCTGTCTGCCCCTCCTGGGGTCCTAGTTAGGACAGGTGCTGCTGCAGCAGCCCTAGCCTGTGCTCTGGGGTTGCATCTTGGGGCCCAGACTGCAGCCGCGGGTGCCAGGGGCAGGTGCCCAGGCTGAAGCCATGGTCCTGTGCCTTGTGTGGGTCTGGGGGAGCTCGGGGCCTGAGCTTGCTGGTGCCTGGCCTCCAGGGGCCTCATGGATCTCATGGGACTGCCCTGCACATCCTTGAGACATGCCTCAAGCTCAGGCCTTTGCCTGTGTGATGGGGTTGAGGCCCACACCACGCGCTGGCTGCCCAGGAGCGTGCACAAGGCTGTACACTGCAGCAGCAGAGTGCTCCCCAAGGACTGAGGCCACCAGTGCCAGCAAGACAGCCACTCCAGGGCCTCCCTGCCCCCTGTCCACCCATGCCTGGGGCTGCATCTTGGGTGGGACTCCCACCCTCCTCCAGGGGGTCTGTGGGCAGACCCCAGCCAAGGCTGGGCCCCTGCCTGCCCCCCCTACTCCTGGTGGGCAGCCGGGTCTCTCCAAGTGCCATTAGCGCCATGCACGGGCGCCTCCTCCCACTGGGACCTGGGCTCTCAAGAGGGGATGAATCCAGCCTGGCTCTGCCTGAGGCCCCCCAAAACCCTGGGACCACCCCCCTGCGAGGGCTGCATGTGCTGGGGGGATGACCAAAGCCCCACGTCAGGTGATTCCACACCAGCAATTCCTGCACTGCCCTGCTCCCCCCTGCCCCCAGGGCCATCTCCTTCCACCCAGCCATGGTGGGACCCCTTGGGGCCAGGGATCAGGGCAGGGTCTCCCTGCAGAGGGGTAAACCTTCAATGCCTCTGGGTCTCCCACGCTCCTCCTTGGCCCCCTGTTGCCCCCCCCGCCGGGTCCCCCGGGTGCAGCAGGGAGACCCCTTCCCAGCGGTTCGGAGACCTTGATATTGCCTTGGTTCCACGTTCACGTTTCCTTGGTCGTTCTGTTTGTGGGGTTTTTTATTTTTCTGTTCAGCTCGGAGACACTTGAACCCGGGGCTGCCCGGGCGGAGCCTTTGTATTAACTGCCATTAAAAAAATGAACCAGAGCCAGCCACCTCCTTCCTGCAGTCCCCACCCTGCCCCTGGCCAGGGGACCCCAGCCGTGCTCAGACCTGATCCAGGGGCAGGCCTTGCGGGTGCTCCCTTGGCCCCACCTGGGTGTCTGGAGGGAGGTGGGAGCAGGAGGCCTGGTGGGTGGTGCACAGGGTGGCGAGTGGCTCCTGGATGCCAGGGCCTCGCCTCCATGTCCCACTGCACTGGGAGGCTGGGGGAAGTGGGGTTTATAAGAAACCCCCAAGCCATTGGGTCCTGACCCCTGCCCGTTTCTGTGCCGCATGTCTGAGCTCGGCCCGGCAGGCGAGTGCAGCTACGGTGCTAATGCAGGCAAACATGCCGGGGCATGGGTGGACGGGCATAGGGCTGGCTGTGCCCTGTCCATGCCAGCTGTTGCACTGGCATCGCCCAGGCAGCAAATCCATGTGGGTGTGGGGGGAGCCGCTGTGCAGGCCCTGGTCTGGGGAGGGGTGGGGGCAGCTGGTATCAGTAGGCAGGGTGCAGCCCCCCGGGGAAGTGGATCAACCTGCCCTGCAGCCGCTGCGACCCCAGCTCTTCCTCTGCTTCCACCTGTGAGGTGTCCGCTCAGGCAGGACTGCCCACCGTGGAGGTTTCCACCAGCTCCAGGTTTGGCGCTGTGCAGACTGTGGCTTGCAGGTCCCTTCCCGTGTCAGCGAGGTGGGCGATCGCCGGTGCCGCGAGCGGTGCCTTCCGGCGATGGTGCTCGGGGAGAAGGCAAAAGAGCTACAGGAGGAGGTGAAGCATCCTGCATCGATTCAGTGCTGCAGGAAACCTCTAGGACGGCAGAGGAAGGACTCCCAGATGTGGTGCTAGAATAGGAAGAGGGCCTGGACTCCCAGGAAACGTGCATCTTCCGGCAGCAAGCAGAAGTCCTCATCCCCCCTGCAGTGGTTTGCCTGGAGAACACATCTGGAGCGCTTGCAACCGAGGAGGAGGAGCACGCACATCCTGCAGATCAATGCACGGCTGCACAGGTGGTGTCGGCAGCAGGGATTCGGCTGCTTCGGCCCAGGATGCTGTTCCAAGAAGGCTTGCTAGGAAGAGACGGGATCCACCTGACAAAGAGAAGGAAGAGCATCTCTGCAGACAGGCTTGCTAACCTAGCGAGGCGGCCTTTATATTAGGTTCGCTGGGGGATGGAGACCAAAGCCCTGAGGTAAGTGGGAGACCTGGAGGAAGAGCAACCTGGAGGGGGCAACAGGGGAGGTGTTTTCAAGTTTCCTGAGAAATCGGGGCAATCAGCTAGTCACCTCAAGTGTCTACACGAGTGCATGGAGCCTGGGAAATGAGCAGGAAGAATTGGAAATCCTTGTGCAGTCATGAAGCTATGATAGGGGTATGACAGAGACGTGGTGGGAGCTTGCATGCCTGGAGCACCGTCACGGATGGGGCAAACTGTTCAGGAAGGACAGGCAGGGGTGAAGAGGAGGAGGAGTTGTGCTTGTATGATTGCCCAGAGCTCCAGTATGAAAGTGGGGACAGGCCTGTTGAGAGTTTCTGGGGTAGGGTCAGAGGGGAGAGCA